CCGGCGATTGTGTGGCTAATTTGTAGAGATCAATGACAGTTTCCACTTTCCTACTATCAATTTGAGACGGTCCCAGTGAAGAATAAATAACATTTCGTTCTATTTCTCTCGGAAAATGATTATTACTAGACAGTTTTTATTTAATACTCATTTTGGATTTAAACAGTCGATAAGCAAATAAATATTATGATTTTCATAAAATATACATCTGTCATTCATAATTATTCCACTTTTTATGTTTTAAAAAACTAAAGATATAATTTAATATGGATGAGTTTATCAATTGAAATAATATAAATTATCATTATATGTGTAACTTATAATGTTAGTTAAAGTATGTGAATATATAAAAAAGACTAATAGCTGTCAATGGTCAGGCTAAAAAAACTAGTAATTTTTTAACATATTTATAACTACAAATATTATTTTATACCAAGATAATGTAAACAAAATTAATACCTTTAAATGTTTGACTTAAGTTTTTTAAATGACACAATCTGTGCCGGTATTCTAGGTACCTATTTATTTATTTACCTAGGTAGTTAAATAACTACACTTTAAATATTTGAATCTAAGGTAACGTTTAAATTAACTACGATTTCTATTAAATAAATGTATAAGTTAAATGTTATTTTGTTTTCATATGTATGAAAAGAATTTGGTATTGAAAGAAAATACCAAGAATCTTGTACATATTATTCAATAGCAATAATGTCAAAACTAAACAAAAATACTCATCAACGACCTTGTCATTAGAAAGTATTCGTCGCAGTTATATCGCGAAAACCAGTTATACGCCTTTTACTTCCCAGTCTTTCTTCGTTATTATAGCTCAAGTTTCGAATTTGAATGCAATATTTCAATGTTAAATGCATCATATGTATAGTGTATATCATAATGCACACAAACATATTGATATGTACTTATTTAAAAATTAAACTAAATATTTCGTTATTATTTTCGTACCAAAAATAGTTTTGCATTTCGCGGTTTCGAAACGCAACGAAACAATATTACGTTATTCATAAACATATACTTGCACTATAATAATAGGCCTTGGTACACATAATATTGTTYGTATAACAAAATTACCGTCGGTAATCTTTAATCGACCAATAATTGAGCTAATATGATGATGGATAGGACGTGTATTTACGCACATTGTTCTGGTTACAAAAAATCTAAATTACGTCATAGAAGAATAATTATATTATTTTGTTAAATTTTTTATAAATATCTTTTTCTTGTAAGGCGATTTGCATGTTCTGCACATACAATGCCTTTTCTCTTTTACTTCCTCCTAGATCAACGACAGGTATTCTGTAATAAATTACCAGMTTAAGTGTTTTAATTTGTTTTGTTMAATTTAAAAGTTGTATACTCGAGATTACAAATAATTGTTACGTAGGTCAGTCATAAATATGATGCAAGTCTATGAATAAGGTTAGGATATAGATAATACAATTTATAATAATATTACATATTAGGTTACTAGGTATAATGTATCATACATGTATTTTCATATTACATACCTATTAACATCCGGTCAACTGTCTATGAATATATAAAGTATCATTTCTAGTTTTGTGTGCTTTGTAATTATATATATACCTATATGGTTATGTATATAATACTATTCCCTCTTACCTTCGTACAAAATCTATTACTTTTTTGAAATATCATAATTGTATAACTACTTTGTAAATACCATGAGTAAATAATCTTTGTTGTTGTGACTTATAATAAAAAATATACCTAATGCTGGTCACTAATTTGATATTTCAGTATTTTTTTAACTTTTTCATATTATTTGCATGGCTCATATTTTATATTGCGATAATTCATTATTTCAAGTAGAAAATAGTTAGGACGGTAGGCACTAATTCATTTTATTTTACCCATGTTGTCTGAATTAGATTTTAAATAACTAATAAACCATTATTATATATGCATTATAAATTACCTATAATCATTGAATGGAAAATGTTATTAGTTRTAAATTATTCTACTTCGAAAATATAATTGAAATATTAGAAAAAATAAAGTAAAATAAATTAAATTAAATTGTGCTTAYAAAATTTTAGATTGTGTAAAATAACCCTAGATCCATGGAACTTCATATAACTTCTATACTTTCATGTAAAGTGGTGGTTAGTCAATATGTATATTACAACACTACGTTCATTTTAGTTTTGAATTTTTGGCATATTATTTTTCCAGTTGGTTTTAGRAACTTAGVCATAGGTATGGAATAAGGAGGAGATCTAAGGGGATATAATCTCTCTGAAATTTTTTTTAACCCCACGTCCTGTACATTTTTTTAGTAATATTTTTAGAATTTATGACGTATACTAGAAATATTATAAGTTATAGCCAATATTCTCCTCCTATTTCTATATAGATTCATCATCCTATGCTTATGAATATAGAATACGATGATCACGGCTTAAACATGATACTGTCGACTTAGTATATGAAAACTTCAATAATTCAAAGTCTTGAACATCTACCAAAAATTGACTATTAATAATTTTAAAACGAAACAGTAGTCAATAATACTGTAAAAGGAATATTTTTCCAAAAAAAATTGTAATCAACTTTTTTATTATTTATATTAAAACTAAATTAAACAGGTAACAAAATTATGTTCAAAATGATGCAAAACAAATCTTGTGTATATTAAATAACCTATGTTGAGATTTTAAACTTGTTTCATGAATTGTTGGCTTATCGATTATTTAATCCAATCATGGGTGTGTGAAGGAAAACTTTTATTTTTTAAAAATTAGCTGAATAATATTTTATGGACATTATGTCCTAAGATAAATATTGTATTAATCATAAAATGTTTATTTTAATTGATATTATAATAATAGAATATTGGTGAATAAAGGAATACTTTAAATTCACCTAAATATTAAGTGACCTACTAAGTAGCCTTCTCAGATTACCTGATTAGTAAAAATAATTAATTTATCTTTAGAATACCGTCAGTTTAATAATATCTCTGTACCTACATGTTTTTACATTAGTGGGTTATAGGATATTATTCACAATCAAAATTAAAATTATTAGTAAATACAGGTGTATGCCCGTGAGCGGCATATGTAAACTGTACCCGAATTTTTATCTACGTTAAAAAGGTATAATGTAAACTGCGCCCAAATTGTTATCTATATGTTAATATCCATGATAAAAAAAGTACAACTTAGATAGCGCCCCATTTGTAAAATATGTATATAAAACTTTTGACTTATTAAAGTCACTATATTTGTGTACTTTTTCAATTATATCTTAGAAATTTTATTTCATAACAGTGGTCAAACACCAATTGATGAATATGTATTAACAATATATTTTTTTTTGTCCTAATATTGTACTTTTTAAAATTATGTTTATTTTTTATAATATTAAGGTTAAAACAAAATAATTAAAGACGTAAGTGTCATCGGTGGATGGCTTCTTCATTCAAAATTTC